CACCCTATGGCTTGATCCAAAAACGCCCTTCCCCGCCCCCAATTCTAGTGTTAAAGGGACTATAAACGAAATTTAAAGTAACCCTTAATTAATAAACTGGCATGCCTGATTTACAACGGTACCCTTAATAGATAATTTGATATAGTATGAATTAGATATCTTTGTTTTTGTTTTGAACACTTACTTTCATTTTTGATTTCTCTGCAAAAGTGGCTTGCGCATTTATTGCTTTAGAAACGCCGGTAGTGAAATTATCAGAATTAAAGTCTTTTCAATCCAGAAAAACGATGATATCTTCCTCGCTATTATTTAGATGAAGGCTTGAAGGGTACAGTTTTGAATTGTGCATGCCCCTCATAAAATGGAGGTTCACTTGACATTACGATGACAGTCCCTTCAAGCTAATATTTGTGAATTTTAAATAAAAAATAGTAAAAATCAAGTTTTTCTGATTCTTAAACTTTTGGTTGCGATAGTGCTTAATCTCATCGATTAAATTGAATATTTCAGAGTAAACTTTAAATTTCAAGGATTTAATTACCGATCTATTACGTACACTTTGTGGTAATCAGGAAATGATTAAAAAGAATAAACAGAAATCGAACTGTATTTACAGATTTTAATTCAAAAGTTTTGACCTGCGATTGCTAAACTGGTTTACTTCAGATTGAAGGATTTATACAATCCGCAATTCATGAAACTCTGTGACTGAGTTGTAGCATAAAAGCTTAAAATTAGTTAAGTATATATCTTGAAATTGTTTTAGGAGAATACAATATATGCAGTACGTATACTGTAAACTCTGGTTTAGGCATAGAGAATAGAATATATAGAGAGGAATTTACTGGAAAAAAGTGTAAAACGGAAATTTTGTTGTACTGTTTCCATACTGCAGGTGTACTNAATGCAATATGCAGTACGTACTGTAAACTCTGGTTTAGGAGAATACAACATGCAGTACGTACTGTAAACTCTGGTTTAGGAGAATAATTTTACATTATAACAAGAATATAAAGTAATATTGGGTAATAATCTAAAATTATAGTTTATAAAGTAGCCGGGAATATAAAGTATTAGGGAGTAATAATATAAAATTCTATTTAAACAAGGAGCAGGGAAAAAAAGTAATGCAGGGTAATAATATAAAATTATAGTTTATCAATGAGCCGGGAATATAAAGTATTAGATAGTAATAATATAAAATTCTATTTAAACAAGGAGCAGGGAAAAAAAGTAATGCAGGGTAATAATATAAAATTATAGTTTACCAAGGAGCCGGGAATATAAAGTACTGGTAATAGTATGGAAAATTATAGTTTATCTATGAGCCTGGAATATAAAGTACTAGAGGGTAAAAATATGAAAAATTATAGTTTACCTACGAGCCGGATATATAAAGTACTACATGGTAAAAATATAAAATAATAATTTACCAAGGAGCCGGGAATATAAAATAATAGAGGGTAATAATATAAAATAATTAAGACAGTTACTTTGTATCTTTGCAACCTGATGCTGTAAACCTTTAATATTTCAAACTTAGATTATTTGCTCAAACAGAGTTCTTAGTTTAAAATATCCAAGGTCATTGATATGCATTGGGTTGCAAAGATAAAGGAATTAGAAAGTCAGAGTTTGTGGCTATGACACTTATTCCTCTGCGTGCGTAAAATGAAAACTAGAGAAGCTACGAGGCCGCAAAGTCATACCAGTAATATCGCATAAATTAGGTCTTATTTTCTTCTAGAAACCCTTAGTGTTAAAAAGTACTGGAAAGTACTATTCTAAAACAGTAGGATCCAAGCAACTACGGAATAGAAAAACGACTGTAGTAGACTCAAGTTATGACTTCAAATAATTTTCCAATAAACATGAAACACACCAAATGTGCAGTGTGTGTATTGAGATAAATTGTGCTTAATGAGTAGGTTTACAAGCAACTGTGGAATAGAAAAACGACTGTAGTAGACTCAAGTTATGACTTCAAATAATTTTCCAATTAACATGAAACACACCAAATGTGCAGTGTGTGTATTGAGATAAATTGCGTTTAATGAGTAGATTTACAAGCAACTGGTAAAAACATTTCCTGTCTAAAACATCTTATCCACGTAATATTATCTAAATGTCGACTTCCTACAGTTTTATGTGTCTCACTGTATGATTCCTATTAAGATGAAGTATTAAAATTAATATTTTAACAATCACTTTCATATTTAGAAGAAATAAATTACGACTAGCTGAGTGACTTTTGTAATTTCTAAATACAAAAATCTTCTTTTTCTTTGGAATTTTTTTTTTAAATTTGTATTTTTTATTAAATGTTATTTTCAAATTTGAACTGCTCTATATAAATATCAAAATTTACAAAAATTACAGTAGCACGTGGAGGGTAACGATTACTAGGGGGCACTTTTAAGAAATAGTTTTTACAGAAGTGTCGCAATTCTTTGAAAAAAAATAGTTCAGTCTTTAAAATTGAATTGAATTGAAAAGCAAATGAGTTTGTATCTATACTTTATATATGTATGATTATAAAACATCAATTTACAAAGTGGCCTGTCAAAATAAATTTATTAAATCGCGAACTTTTTTTGTTTATTTTTACAATGTACACACAGAGAACATGTTCACAATTGAAATGGAAGATGGGCGCAAAGCACTTTAAAAGCCTAGTTGGTAATAATAATTCCGTCTGTTTGTCCGTTTGAATCCAATAAGCGCGAAAACGGCTAAACCGATCAGGCCCAATTTTTTTGTGGGAACTCACATGACCCCAGGGAAGGTTCATGGATTTTTACAAAATTGCCTGCCGAACTTTTGAAATTTAGAAATCCACGAAAAAAAAACGATAAATTAACAAAATTTTGTTTTTATTGTTTAATAATTTATGAACAGAAAATGGCGCAGATAGAGAATCCTTTAATAATTAAAACCAATGATAGTTGCGAAGCGCCCTGAAAGCCTAGTTATGATAATAATAGTAATTATAATATTGGTAATAATAATTATAATTATAAAAATAATACTAATAATAATTATGATAATAATTCATAGTTAATGATAATAAGAATGATAATAGTAATAAAGATAATAATGATTGCTATTGTTTTATTATTATTTCTAAAATAATAAACCTGCTGAGGACTATGATGATGAGAGTGTTTGAGAGAATGGTGATGAGGATGAGAATGGGCATGATGATACCGTAGATAGGTTCCACCATGTTTATTGGTCCTAACCAGTCACTGGCGTTCAGACGGTAGCAAGTCCCATTCTCCACACATCCAATACTGAAATAATCAAACAATTTTTTTAAAATCTTTTCCTTAAATCTAATACCCAGGTTTTCGTATACTCTAGCTTTAGTTATGCCAAGTTTTTCACTCTGGTCTAACTTTAGATATTCTGATATTGGTTGAATAGAATTGTGAATTATTGACGGTTTATTTTGATAAAAGGAGCTGAGCTGGTAACTATTGTGTTGAATACCACATAATCTCGATATCAACTTTGAAGTACTCGGACAAAGCTTAAAAGAGTACTATTGTGAATCAGACATCTATAGGCGTCAAACCTTATAGAAATCCAACGTATAGAAACGGCTACGTATAGCAACATGGCGTATTTTCCAGGAGAACATTTTTATATTTTTGAGAAATTAAATAATAAGTGTAAAGTAGATTTAGTTTTCATAAAATCCTTTTATTTAAATGGTAAAACGGAATTTTATTAAATCATATTAGCATTACTGGAGAACTTTTTTTTATACTTTTAAGAATTTTTTCCAAACCTAAAATGTACGTATTAAACTATTTTGCTCCTTTAATGTCTAGGTTATGTTAAAAAAATAGAAATTATGATAATGATACTGATAAGCTCCAATATTTTACAAAAACGTTTAATTTCTCAAAAATATAAAAAAATGTTCTCCCGGAAAATACGCCATGTTGCTATACGTAGCAGTTTCTATAGGTTAGATTTCTATAAGGTTTGACGCCGTTTTTTTGATTTACTTGAAATTCCGTTGACGGTTCCTTTAAACCCCGAAATTCCGTTGACGGTCCCTTTAAACCCCGAAATTCCGTTGACGGTCCCTTTAAACCCCGAAATTCCGTTGACGGTCCCTTTAAACCCCGAAATTCCGTTGAAGGTCCCTTTAAACCCCGAAATGTTGGCGTTAAAGGTTTGCTCTAAGATAAAAGAAGAAGATTGAGCTCCTAGATATATTTGGATCCTGGACAGTAATAAATCATCAAGTGTGCGCTCCTATTCTTTTAACTGAATGCTAGCCCCCTCCCCCCCCACCAACTTGCTCAAAAATAATTTGATTAATGGGACTGTAGACGATATCTCAAGTGGCCTTCCATTTTAATAGTGCCGTGTACGATTCACAAGAGTACCCTTTATAGCTTTATCCGATCAAGTATGAATTAGATAATATCCATATGTTTAAACATTTTCAAACTGGATTATTCTAAAGTGTGTTTTCTCTAAGAAAGTGAATTGCGCATTTCGACTCCAGGAAAACGATTTATAAATGGTCAGAATTAAACACTTTTCAGTCTATAAAAGCGAGCTTACACTACAGTTTCAGTCGAATTAAATATTTCCATTTACTGTTATAGCGCCGATGTAAGGATTTATCTCTAATTGCATAAGAGCTAGATAGAAAGATAGATGTTACCGCCATACTATTTCTATTGGTTCAGAATAGACAACAAACACATGACTGAACCCTGATTGGATCAGTCGCTAATGGACTCGGCATACTAGAGTGCTTAGCTTCCACATATTTTCATAAAAGGTTGGAGAGTACCGTTGTGAATCGGGCATGTCCCTCTTTTTATGTGTAGGGTCACTTGAAATCGGAGAAACCCCAATTGAAAATACTTAACTTTCAGATAGAAAGTTAAGGATATGACATTTATCCTTGATCACACAAAGGTTTAAAGAGTATCGTTGTAAATCGGACATGGTTATAAATGGTCCGCTTAAAATTACATCTTCAGTCCCTTTAAAGATCCCAAAACTGGAAAAATATTTTTAAGAATCAAGTAAAAGTACGAACGATGTCGGGTTTAGAGCAGAAATTCAGTAATTGAGATGTTTTCATCTGAATAGTCAGACAGCTAATCATTTAAAATCATGATAAAACGTATATTCTTAAAATGCTATTAACATGCAAAATTTAAATAAAAGAAATCATAATCACCATATTTAAAAACGAGAAATTTGTTCCTATTTAATATTATGAATTTAGTTTTTTACATAAATACGAAAAACGTATTCTACTTATCAGTTTTCCGGTGTAAAGTTTTAAAATAAATTAATGTTAATTAATTTGAAAATCTTCTGGGATATATTATCTATATAATAAAACAGGACATTCGTATATATATGTTGTCGGCTTGACAGATTGGGCTGATTTTTTTTCTGGACACTCATGGCCGGGAGGTGTTATAGGCTAAATAAATTCGAAATTTTTTCAGTTTTTTGTTTTTCATGGACAACGCCGTGCCCTTCAGTTAGTTTCTCATAATTGTCCTAGGACATTATAAGAAGATTTACAAATTACATGTCTTAGATTTTCACTGAAAAAAAGTATTTTATAATTTAATTCTAAATACATTAATATAATATCAATTTCTAAAGTCCAACAGGTGAAGTTTGATGGATAAAACATTTTTCCTCCAGACTCAAACTTCATGGGATTCATCTCTCTGGTATTCCTGATGCTGGAGACTCTAGATTGTCGGTGAGTGACAACCTAAGCCTGGTTCACCACCATATCACCAGGCCACTCATCCCTGAGCTTCTCACTCTCATCCCCCTGGTCAACTTTTGCAGTTTTCTTTTATATACATCAAAACTTTTCAACAGAATTGTTCCTCTGCACTAGTACTGTTTAAGATTAAATGAATATTTTCCCTTTGTAACAGAATTAATCATACTCTAGGGTGTCCCGCTGATCTCCATTAAAGTCTCTGATGTTGATTGAAGGCCCTCAGATAGTTTTTTCGGCTGCCTTCCTTGATCTGTATCAACACCTCAGTATCCAGGAAGATAATTGATGAATCTAACATCTTCCTTGCAAGTTCAACTAACACTGACAAATTCTGGATTCTTTACAAAATTTTGCGGATTTTGGAGTTTTTTTTGCGCGTTTTATCCGGTTAAAACGGAATAAAAGAGTTTTATTTTAATTTAGTGGCAAAATTTAGTTATCTATGTATAAAGGAATTGAGTCTTTGTAACAAATTCTGATTTTCTAATACCCATATTTTTTCCACCTGATTGTGTAAACCTTTGATATTTCAAACTTAGATTCTTTAATCTCACAGAATTCATAGTTTGAAATACCTAAGGTCTAAGGCATTGGGTTGCGAAAATATAGATATTAGAAAATCATAATTTGTGACAAAGACTCAATTCCTTTAGCTTGTTTGGGTGTCAAAACGGTTGAACTGATCGGGCCCAAATTTTGTGTGGGACCTCACGGGGCCCCAGGGAAGGTTTATGAATGATTTCAAATATTTATCTCCATAAAAATTCGATCTTCATTAAATTTTTGAAAATTTTGAAAATCCACGAAATTTTAGTGAAAATCCGCGAACTTTTTACGATGTACATAAAGAGAACATGTTCAAAATTAATTTAGAAGATGGGCGCGAAGCGCTCTATTAGGCTAGTCTATAATAAATTTAGCTTGTCCGTCTGTCTGTTTGTATCCAATAAACGTCAAAACGGCTGAACCGATCAGGCCCAAATTTTGTGTGGGACCTCATGTGGTCCCAGGGAAAGTTTTTGAATGATTAAAATTTAAAAAATTTGTATATTTTTTTGTAAAATTTTGGAAAAGTGCGAAAAAACTTTTTGAATTTTTTTTATACTGTACAAAGAGAAGATGCTGAAATTACGCGTACAGTTCCTTTAAGAGGGTGCGAATGCATGGAGTATATTAATGAAGTGAAACTAAACTGCCAAACAAGGATCCAAATATTGGCGAGGATAAACACTAACCTCCCATTCACTGTAGAAATATTTGAGCCACGTGATTCATTGCTCCAGGACATCATTGATTCATTGTCTGATAGTTCAGCCATCTCAGCAGCAGAAATATCTCCAACCTAAAAAATTTGTTTTAATTTTTCATTCATAAAGAAATTAACTTGAAATAAATATCGCATTACAGGGACAGACCGGCAATAAGGTAGTTGAACTGAGTATGCAGTGTTGTGGACAAATTCTTTAGGATTCATTTGAGGCATATAAACTTTTTAAAGATCTGTAAATCCTAAGTTTGAGCGCAAAGTCGACGTTCAAAATCGTACTTTTGGGTGGATACGTTTTCAGAATTGTTTTTTTTTTAAATTATTAAATAACGACGACAAAAAATGTAAACAAAATTCTGCAGTAAACTAATTATTTGTTTAGGAACTGGTTGAGAAAATAAAAACTAGTTTCTATTTTCAAATTATTCTAGTTTCTCATTTTTTACAAAGATTTTCTGCAGATTTTCTGGAATTATCATTAAAAAGACGACATTTGAAGAATTTGAAGGAATCTGCGAATAAATTAATAAAATAAGAAATTCAATATAATAATGAAAATGAAATAATTGATTCTAGCATTGATTTATTGACAAATTTCAAATTAAAGGGACAGCTTAACAGAGGGGTTTAATTATTTTTTGTGAACGTTTTGGACCCAGACGTAGTATCCTATTTCCATCTTATTTTAATGCGGATTCGGATCTCCAAAATATAAAAATGGTTCCGGGTCAAGCTCATGAATATTTCTTAAATTTTTCATGATTTCTTTTCCCAAAAAAAAACTGATTTTCAAACTTCTTTTCATTTTTGTCGCTGAATATGTAGAAACCTTGATTATCCATTAAAGGAAACATTACAACAGATATTATTCGAAAACAGTGAGTAAACTAAACCCAAGTAAAACAGCCAATTAAAGCAACCTACTCTGGTCCAAACTACAAAGTCTAGTAAATTGTGATTTTTTATTTAAATTATCTCGTGCTTTGTAGTAGAATACCCTCCATGCAAAGATGGGAATGCCGATTTACAATGATACCCTAAACAAGTCAAGTCAACATTGAATATCAATATTTATAGTTTTTAAAACTTATCATTTTTAATTGAGGGTTCTCTACAAAAGTGACTTGTGCATTTTTATCGGAGGAATTATTGAAATTTAAAACCAAGAAAAACGAAGATATCTTTCACATTATTACTCAGATAAAGTTTTGGATTGGGTACCGTTGTGAATTTGTAAGAAAATAACATTATAAAGAAGACAATATCTTTCTCATTGTTCAGAAAAACGTTGTGAATCGGAAATGTCATTTTTCATCATGATTACCATAAATTAGTCCAATGCAAAGTTTCAAACACAGTTCCTGTTTCTGGAAACATATTGTGAAATCCTTGGACACAAACCAGATATGATTCTCTATCCCTTGGGTTCAACTCCAATACAGGTAAGGTAAAGTTCAATGTCGCAAAAAAAGTTTCTTTATTTTTTAGTACACTTTTATATTTTTTAAAGGGAGTGTTCGCGAAAAATGAAAGGGGGTATAGGCTTAATGCGATAAAAAAGCGCTTTTGATCGCTACTAATCTTACTTCTATCTGTTGCGTCTATAAGGAGAAAATTGTAAACGACGTCTCATACCGAATAACTTAGCGCCCATACAAATTGAGAAAATTGCAACATACGACTTAGACCGGAAAAAAAATCAATTTAATTTCAAACAAATCATTCAGGTATTACAACCTATAGTCATCGATTATCTTTCGCCACATTTATATATAGTTGATTTTTCTTAATATGTTTTAATTGTTTTAATCTGAGAGTTACTTATAAAAACATTTATTCCTGTTTCGAGGATTTTTGGTAATGAAGACGACATTTTCATATTTTCCAGGAATGTTCGAAAACAAGTTGTAAGCTAAATATTATTTTAAAAAACAAAATCAATACTAGTATGAAATAATGAAATATCAAATATTTACAAATGTGGCGAAAGATAATCGATGACTATAGGTTGTAATATCTGAATGATTTGTTTGAAATTAAATTGATTTTTTACTGTATAAGTCGTATGTTGCCATTTTCTCAATTTGTATGGACGCCATGTTATTCGGTATGAGACGTCTTTATCAATTTTCTCCTTATAGACGCAACAGATAGAAGTAAGATTAGTAGCGATCAAAAGCACTTTTTTATCGCATTAAGTCTATACCCCCTTTCATTTTTCGCGAACACTCCCTTTAAGTTACTGCATAAGTTTTCTAATACCTAAATCTTTGCAATGGTGTAAACCTTTGATATTTCAAACTTTGACATTTTATCCCAACAGAATTCATAGTTTGAAATATCTAAGATCTACTTATTGGATTGCAAAGATATAGGTATTAGAAAATCTAAGACTTAAATCCTTTGTATAATTCATGAAAAGATTTTTTAAACAGAATATTTTTCCTTATCTCTGGTCAGTATCATATTTCTAGCAATTAATGCTAATTTTAAAGTCTATTTTTAACAAATTCTGACAGAATTTTGATTTTTTTTATAATATTGCTGATTCGAACAGATTGTTTTTATAATATAGCTGATTCGAACAGATTGCTTTTAAATATTGCTGATTCTAACAGACTGTTTTTATAATATTGCTGATTCGAACGGATTTTTAAAAAAATAATTAAGCAATATGCTAAGAAAGTTTTCGTAAAGGAATTGATTCAACTCAATATGAAGGTTATTGGGGACGTCAAAGGACGACTAAGGAATTTTTAATAAAATCCTGTATACATCTGACAAAGTAATCTGCATATCTAATTTTAGCACATTTTAAGAGAAAAAAAAGCACATGATCTACGGATTTTTCTGTATTTGTATGCCTTGGTTGGTTTAATTGAAAAAAATTCAATTTTTGACAAAAAAAAATCGAAAAATTGTAGATAAAATTGAATAAATTATTTTTCTTGTTTTCGTGATTTTTGATTCAGGATGTTGCATTAGTATTTACTCCAGAGAGTAAAGTTGGTTTAAAGTTAAAGTTAGTTTTCAATTCAACCTTTTTATTCGACTCTTCCTCACAAAATCAACATTTATTTACTTTTTTATCTAGATCATATATGTAGGTATTGAACAATTAACATTTTAGTATTTTTAAAAAAGTTATTTCAGTACCATAATTTATAAATTTGAAATATATTTTACTCAAAGAATATTTCTAAAATATAATAACAATGAAAAGTATAAGTGAATGTCATTCAGTTCTTTAAATGTTAAAGAAGAAAACAAATGTTTATTTTTGTCAAATACAGGGTGAGAAATAAAAGCAGTAAAATTTGTAATGGTTAAATATTTACATTGAAAATTATTAAAGTGTTTTAAACAAAACGCAAAAAACTGTATTTGGTACATAGACAGGGAAAAAATCTGCGAAGCTATTTTTTCCGAAAAATGAAATTTATGTTAAATAAAAAAGATTATTTTTTTAAATCCACGAAAGGATAAGAGCGCGCAAACCCTAAACTGAAAAACGTAACATAAAAAATTTGTCGTTTCAAAACATGTTAAAATTGATCAAGGGACATATTATGTATTTACCAAATTTTATCGGGATTGGACAATGCAAAAATGGATATATATAACAGAATGGATATAATTATATAACAGAATGGATATAATTATATAACAGAATGGATATAATTTTCTAGCTGGGGTGTCATGCAATACGTTAGACATTTGGACCCTGGACTTACAATTTGTCTTTGATTTTCGTAAAGTTAGTTGTTGTGGATTCGTATGGCGTATTTATTATTTTTGGAGAATATCTCCCCCAATTCTGAAAAATGGAAAGATAAATATTTATTGTTTACATTTTTTATATAATTGTTGGCGGATTGTTAGTATTTTTCGACGAAGAATTCACAGTCACTAGGAAAAAGAAAAGTAGATTTAAAAAACAAAAAGATTTTTCAAGTGTGTGAAAAGAAAAGTTTTTTTTCTTCGGATATAGAAGGTTTTATAAGTTCAATGTGTTGGATCTTCCATTGTTTTTAAAATGATGAAATAGTATTTAGGACTTTCAGATCAGATTATAACATTTTGTGATCTTTTTCGAGTCTGGGAAGATATCATTACTATTGGAGTACTATTGGAGGCACCCTTTGATTGGAGACCCCCTGATTCTCGTTGGAGAACCCGTTATTTTAGTCTTCAATGAAAATCTGAGGTCTCCAATAAAAATCTGGGGGTCTCCAACGAAAATATTGGGGTCTTCAACGAGAATAATGGGTCTCCAACGAAAATATGGGGGTCTCTCTTGAAAATCTGAGGGTCTCCAACGAGAATCTGGGTCTCCAACGAGACGTTCATGGGGGTCTCAAATAGTACTCCAATGGTAATGATTTCTTCCCAGAATCATATTTTTAACGTTTATCTCAAATTGTTTAATTATATTTTCCCAATTTTTGGCGCTTAATTAGTGGATAAAGAGTTGGAATATCATATTTCTTTGTTATTTGAACACAAATATCTGCAAATTCTTGAAAATTAGGACACCAAGAAGGTATTAAAAAACGAAGTACATATCTACGGTATTAGTACCACAAAATTATCTTTTTATATTTAAAAAACCTCCTGAGCAACATGTTCGACGGGAAAACTTTTTGAATAAATTTGATCAAAATTTCACTTTTGCAAATTTGAATTTTAAAGTTTAATGTATATAGTGTATACATTAAAGAAAGAAAACAACGCATGAAGATTTTGTTCGAACCCCCCAAAAAATCCAATTCATACTAAACAAAACTAAAATATGATTTGATTGTTTCATGGAATAATGTCGGGCATCATTATTTTGCGTTTTTATGAAGCTTCACGAAAACCTACAAAGTCTTACTGAACCTAAAATTGTATTTTCTATCATTTTACTTTTGTGAAGTCTTGCAGATTTTGATACTGGCAGAAGATAGATAGAAACTGAACGAAGAAAAATCATAATTGTTCGTTAACGAATGATTTGAGAAAAAGTTCAAGCTTTTTTCTGTAAATGTAATTATCTTGTATTTATATATGTATATAGTAGTACAGTAATCTCAATATATATCTAAATTCAGACTAATATTTTCTGTAAGTGTAATTATTTTGTATTTATATATGTATCTAGTAGTAATCTCAATATATATTCAAATTCAGACTAATATTTTCTGTAAGTGTAATTATTTTGTATTTATATATGTATCTAGTAGTAATCTCAATATATATTCAAATTCAGACTAATATTTTCTGTAAGTGTAATTATTTTGTATTTATATGTATAAAGTAGTAATCTCAATCACAGGCTCAAAGGGACCGAGCGCTGTCGTTAGGATGGGCTAAGGGGCCGAGTGCTGCGGCTAGAAAAGGCTAGAGGGTCGAGCGCTGCGTCTAGGACAGATTTGGGAAGTTGCCGCTTGGGAAATTGCACACTTTGGAAGTTGCCGCTTTCGAAAACGCCTGTGGGAAAGTACCTAACCTCAAAATTGTTACTAGAAAAGGGAAATAATGCACCTTGAAGGTCCAGTTTATTACATTTCATAAATTATTGACACTGGCAGAAGATTGAGAAGTGAAACCAATCTATGGATGTTAAATGGTTAAATGGTCTGCCCAAAATGGCTAAATCCCAATTTAAAATTTCTTTCTAAACAACTTATTAATTAATGGTTGTCTTAAACTAACACTTTTCAACCTTTTATCTTCACTAAAGTGAGGATTTTTAATTTTGAAGGGTACCTACAGTACATACCTACAAAACCTTTGAAGCATGAGCGCACTACAGATAATTTTTCCCAATCTTCCCAGAATTATTATACATAATATGTACATGTTATTGATAAGATTTTCATTTTGTATATATACATATTCTCTATACATTCTTTTTGTCTAATACCTGAATAGAATTTTCCATATAAATGAAAAAGAGAATATAAGAAAATAATCTTCACAGTTGTTTCCGCTGACAAAACAGTACATTATAGTACAGTGGTCGGCGTTTATATCAATACAATACAGACAAATTTTCTATTTTATTTTTTAATTCTAACAAGCCTTTTTCAAATAATTTTTAATAAGTTACCAAAGAAAAGTTGTTAATTGACAGCTCCTCTTTCTTTCCGTGTTTATATGTATCCATGCTATAATCTTGGTCAAAATAAAAGTCGTCTTTAACTTATTGATGTATACGATGACGACTAAACAGTACAGTACATAAAAGTACAGTCCAGTACAATACAGGGGTTAAGACTACTTTAAAGCTACTTTAAATGTAATTTCAAGCGACCCTCCCTTTAAATGTAATTTCAAGTGACCCTCCCTTTAAATATAATTTCAAGTGACCCTCCCTTTAAATGTAATTTTAAGTGACCATCCCTTTAAATGTAATTTCAAGTGACCCTCCCTTTAAATGTAATTTCAAGTGACCCTCCCTTTAAAAGTGTTATGTATGATTCACAACGGTACCATTAAGGCTTTTTCAAATCTAGTATGAATTAAATATTCATTTTTCGTTTATTTTCGTTTTATTTCAGAAACATTGTGAAATTATTATAATTTAACACAAATTAACGAGGATAAAACGTCATTATACATAGATCAGATTTAGGTATACCGTTAATTGAAAGTTGCCCACGGAACACGAGCAATTTCACGTAAAACATCTAGGTGTTTAAAACCCGATTAACAACGATACCTTTTAAATATATGCCCCCCCCCCCTCCTTCCCCCTCCCCTCCATGTTGACAGTCCCTTTGGTAAAAAGTAGCAGAGATCACAGTATTCATTTTTTAATTTAAAAAATAAAATTACTTTATTTTTCTCAAATCATTTAAGCCGCTTTTATCCAGAAATAAATATGGTTTTCAAAATTTAATCAAATTTGTTTTTAATCTTTCAATTTGGTGGCAAGGATAATCTTTTAAAAGATCTTATTCATGAAGTACATTTTTTAATTTATGTGATTTTAAATTCTACTGAAATTAATCTATATATAAATTTGGCTTGTCTGTCTGTCTGTTTGTTTGTCTGTCTGTCTGTTTGTATCCAATAAACGTCAAAACGGCTGAACCGATCGGGCCCAAATTTTTTGTGGGACATCTAGGGAGCCCAGGGAAGGTTTATGAAAAATCAAAATTTCAAATATTTGTCTCCATCAAAATTCGATCGTCATTAAATTTTTAAAAATTTTGAAAATCCGCGAAATTTTTTGTGAAAATCCGCGAATTATTTTTGTTTTGTTTTACGATGTACACAAAGAGAACATGTTCACAACTAATTTAGAAGATGGGTGCGAAGCGCCCTCTAAGGCTAGAAAGAAGGGCGCGAAGCGCCTTGAATTTCGAGTAATAATATAAATAAATAAAATGTCAGAAAAACAGATTAAAAACAGAGTTTTAGAAAATTTAATTTAAGCTATAAGTTTTGATTACATTTACATTTAAAGGGATTATACGCGTAGCTTCAAGTGACCTTCCATTTAAAAATATTCAATTCACAATTCAGGGAGGGCCCTCTATAAATGGAAGGTTACTTGAAATTAAGCCTCTTTAATATGTTTTTTTTTTCAATATCTACCACTGTAAAAACAAGGTGTCCCAATAAACATAAAAAATAGTCACGACTTCTACATCGTCTTTGTTACATACGGCATTACACTCCTCTAAATCCGCTATTTCTACGGTCAGTGTACAGCAGATTACTGCAGTAAGGTTTGAAAGCTTGTTCAGGATGGTATCCCATGTTAAAACAACTACAGTCCTTTGGGTAATCCTGTTTACAGTCCTTTGGGTAATCCTGTTTACAGTCCTTTGGGTAATCCTGTTTACAGTCCTTTGGGTAATCCTGTTTACAGTCCTTTGGTAATCCTGTTTACAGTCCTTTGGTTAATCCTGTTTACAGTCCTTTGGGTAATCCTGTTCTCAGTCCTTTGGGTAATCCTGTTCTCAGTCCTTTGGGTAATCCTGTTTACAGTCCTTTGGGTAATCCTGTTCACAGTCCTTTGGGTAATCCTGTTTACAGTCCTTTGGGTAATCCTGTTTACAGTCCTTTTGGTAGCCCTGTTTACATTCCTTTGGGTAATCCTGTTTACAGTCCTTTGGGTAATCCTGTTTACAGTCTTTTGGGTAATCCTGTTTACAGTCTTTTGGGTAACCTTTTTTACAAGAATACTTACTTTTTATATATATAGTTGTATCCAGGTTTAGGAGTTGTATATTCAGGCTGTATCCTTTAGGAGTGGTATATCTACCATCCAGGTCGTATCTAGGTTTATGAGTTGTATATCCAGGTTGTATCCAGGTTTAGGAGCTGTATATCTAGTCTGTATCCAGGTTTAGGAGTGGTATATCTACCATCCAAGTCGTATCCAGAGTAGGGTTGAGGATTGACTCCGTAAAAACCGGAGAAGTATCCTAAACCTCATCCTCTCTCAGGTTTTCCGACCTACCTCTCCGTTTCTCTCTCACACACACCCTCACTCCTTTAATTTAACATTTTTTTTTGCAAAAAAGCGTGTTAACATCAAGGTTATGATACAGAAAGATAAACGGTAAAAAGAATTTCTAAAAAGTCCATGAACGTTTTTCTTATTTAAACTAAAGATCTAACGTTTACGTATTTGAAAAGCGCTTAAAAAATTAATAGAAAACCACGTCTAACAATTTATAGTTTGTCAAAACCCAAAATTTGTATTTGTTACATTTTTTTTGATGTTTATTTTTTATTTTTATTAAAATATACCTTGCACACTAACGATTTAAGTTAGCTATCAAATTTGTTGCTGGATTAAAAAATATGAGCTCTGCATATTTTGCACGTACCCTATTCCACGACTCTAAGGGTTTTCTTCTTGGGAGGGGGGGGGGCACCCCACCCCCATACATGGAGTCAAACCCCAGTCTTTTTAGGTTTAAAATATGACAAACAACTCGGATCAGATAGATCTCGATCAAGTTCAATTGCCTGGCAAAAAAAAACATTTTTATTTAGTTTTAATGTTTCCCTTTCGAATTTAAATGATCACTTCTCCGTTACTAAAAGTTTTGGCATTTATTAGCATAACATATGCATATATCATCCTTTCTGGAATATGGTTATAAAATTTAAATCCGATGCAAATTAAATATAATCATTAAACAGAAGAACCTGACAAAAGTTTTCCTTTGATTTAAGAAATTAAAAGTAATCTACTACAATTTATGGGTCAAGCTCTGCTACTATAAGACAGGCTAAAGGTGCCGCGCGCTGTGGCTGGTACAGGGATACAGGGCATGTTATCCCTGGATTTAAATATAATTTTACCTCTATTAACACTTAATTTTTCACAATGAACGGGACTTGCAAGAAAATTAATTTTCGAAATCAACAGACAATAATTAACAAATCTCATATGCCGTGAATGGTTTACTGGCTTTAACTGCACTTCAACCTAGTCCTCTTTCGATTCGACATCGATACTGCCGACCTATTCAGCTCTAGCTTGGACAGTCCTATTCATCCCACCTTGTGGATCGAGATTATTGGCTTCAGTTTTAAATAAAACATGAGGTCAATGTCGGCTGGGTTTTCCACAAGTTCAACGTATGATAAGATTTCCTACCGACAAAATATCTTGAATACAACTATACACTCGAGGCAGTTTATTATCCGCCCTGCTTTTCATCCGACCTATTGCTATAAGCTAATAAGCTGCCATGCTTATAGGTCGAACTACTTGCAATCTGAGCTTAGCTCCGGGTCCGTATGAGAACTGACGGGGTTACATCAATGAACTATCCCTACTCCGAGCTACTGAGCTCTAACTGGATACACTACATGATATATCACCCATTCTGGAATATTGGCATCAGTTTAGACTAATCTTGGTAAAAACAGCTTCACATCAAACCAAAGTAAAGTCCAAGTTAGATTGAAATCCAATACGTTTTCAATCCTAACTCCTCTTCTTACAGTGTTTATGACTCATATCATATTAGATTATAGAGGTTATCCATATCATATAAGATTATAGAGGTTATCCATATCATATTAGATTATAGAGGTTATCCATATTATATTAGATTATAGAGGTATCCATATCATATTAGATTACAGAGGTTATCCATATTATATCAGAACATAGAGATTATCCATATCATATTAGAGTATAGAGGTTAATCATATCATATTAGATTATAGAGGTTATCCATATTATATCAGAATATAGAGATTATCCATATCATATTAGAGTATAGAGGTTATTCATATCATATTAGATTATAGAGGTTATCCATATCATAATAGATTATAGAGGTTATCCATATCATATTAGATTATAAAGGTTATCAATATCATATTAGATTATAGAGGTTATCCATATCATATTAGATTACAGAGGTTATCCATATCATATTAGATTATAGAGGTTATCCATATTATATTAGATTATAGAGGTTATCCATATTATATTAGATTACAGAGGTTATCCATATCATATTAGATTATAGAGGTTATCCATATTATATTAGAATATAGATATTATACGTATTACGTATTATATTAGAATATAGAGATTATCCATATCATATTAGATTATAGAGGTTATCCATATTATATTAGATTACAGAGGTTATCCATATCATATTAGATTACAAGTAAAGAAAAAGATTTCAGATTTGAAAATATCAAAATGTTTTTTTTTCAAATCCAATCACATAGCCAAAAATGCAAAACTTCCCAACTTCCCTTCAAGATTTATGCAATATTCTTCCTTTTGTCATAGGCAACTTAGATAGATATTTTGTCTGTAGTTTTGCAATATTTATTCTTTTCCTGTGAGCTATTACAAATAGCCATAAATTATTTTTACTTCAAGAAAAATGGCGCCAAAAAGAAAAATGCCGTTAAAAGCTCAAAATAAAACCATTTCAGGCTAAAAGCTTGACGCTCAAACTGAACCCTCAGCAATACTTTATTTTAATGAACTCGGGAATGCATGACAGGGTATCAGAGAATTGATTTAGATAAAATCAAATAATTTCCAAGAAAACTTTTCTATAAAGTGATGTTCCAGGGCCCAAAAGATTATATAGCTTAAGTATGTGAAGTACACTGCAGCAGTATGGAAACAGTACAACAAAATGTTCCAGGGTCCAAAAGGTTATATAGCAAAAATATGTGAAGTACACCTGCAGTATGGAAACAAACTGGCAGTTTTACACTGTTTTCCAGTAAATTCCACTCTAATATATATTCTATTCTCTTTGTTTCAACCTAAAGAAAAGAGGGTGTTACTCTCAAATGATGTTGACTGTACAGATGATAGTTTTCGGGGGAGTTTATTGGGTAAATATCAAAGAGAATAGAATATATCAGAGTGGAATTTGCTCGAAAAGAGTGTAAAACGGCCATTTTGTGGTACTGTTTCCATACTGCAGGTGTACTTCACATATTTTTGCTATATAACCTTTTGGGCCCTGGAACATCATTTTATAGAAAATCTAAAATCAATACTTAAAGAAAACCAAATTATGAAAAAAGCTGGTTTCATAATTGACCAATGTGGTGTTCTCTGACCACCAAAAATCTGCAATAAATTGGCAAACTTAAATTAGCAAACTTTGATAAGATCACACTTCAAGCTATATAACTTTTATATGATCAATTATCTTTGCAACCTGATAACATTGCACATAAGGTTATTTCCATCATACGGATCAAACCTTTATACAATAACTTATCTTTGCAACCTGACAACATTATACTTCGGGCTATCTCCATCATACGGATCAAACCTTTATACAATGACTTGTCCATGCAATAATTAACACCCAAAGTAATAAATAAGCTTTCATTAGATTAATTACATTTATTTACATATATTCATAAATGCATACATAATCGTAATATGGAGATAATCTGATGACTTAATGATCAGCCATGATTCCTGTACATATTAGGTCTCTTAGCTTGATTCTTGAGCACTTTCTCAGTTAATCTACCGAGTCTTATGTGCATGACTGTTATATTGTTCAGTCCGTCTATCAGCTCTTTATCTCTTTCATTCCAGGTCTGTTGGCTAATCCACTCTTGCATGTTCCGACGCAGACCTACCACCTGGTTGAACAGCCTGCTACTGATCTCTTCTCTAATTGAGTCAGGATGCAGCCTGTATTCACGCTCCCAAGCTCTCCCTGTGTCCCATACATCAATACGAGGGATTATAGGGGGCTGTTGGGAACCTGCACCCCCAGGAGCGGGAGACAGGAGGGCTCTAACCTCCTTATTAAGTTCCTCCAGGCTACTAATGACGTCCTGGAGTATCTTCGGGATGTCTTCCATCTCTTCATCATCATTCCCGTCCTCTACTACATCCTCAGCTACGTCTTCATCCTCTGAGGCTGGAGCAGTGACAATGGGAGCATTCCCACTGACTAGAGGAGTAAGGTCTGCGGGATCAACTTCATCCTCATCCAGCTCAACATCCGCAACATAGACTGGGTTGTGTACTATGACAGGAACTTGGTTCATCTTCTTCTAGGTAGCTCGTTCAAGTTGGTCTTCTCTGTAAGGCATACAGGTCCCGGAACGATAGTGGCAGACTGACGTGTATAGTTACGTGTCTACTCTTCTAAGGTTCGGGCTGTACTGATCCTCTGGCAACTGTTTGTATTCAAGGGACTATTCGCTCTTACCAAGAACAATCTAGGATACAACACCAATGATCATTTCACATAGACTCTATGCCTTTCACTTTAAAAACAATGATTTTCCGTTATAACCATAAATCAAATGATGTTTTTTATTCACCTAATTCATGTTATTCAGTTTATTTAACAGCTTTAACAATTTCGAGATTGAAATGGATAGTCTAGGGAACATACTGCATTAATGTACTCTACTGCATATAATTTGTGAACATTTACATGAGTTGTACACTTTGAACTTCCTTTCAGGCTGAACGGGACTGACAAATTTCATACCGAGAGATTCTTTAAATTCCCCTCTAATATATATTCTATTCTCTTTGGGTTAAAAACCAAAAGTTACGAGAAAGACTTTTTTAAAGAATACCTGCCTTAGCCAAAAAGCTAAAAATTAATGTTTGTCAGGTTATTGAAATCTGTAAAAAGCATTAAAGCAGATTTTTGTCTGTTTCCCAAGCCTCTTTATTATTCAAGAAAAATATGTGCTTCTTGTAAATTAGGAATCAAAAGTTCAAAACTAAATAAAAGATGAGTGGAATTCAATTATTTTTTAGATTTATACTAAACTTTAAACATTTTCTAATATACATTTGAACCTATGCATTGAAAAGTAAATGTTTTCGTATTTGTTTGTCAAACCAAAGAAGACTGTCGGAAAAATCAAATTGTTTAAACATTTTGATTTTGAATAATGTATGGAGTATGTTTAAGGAAT